TGGCAGAGCCCAGCCTTGGGGGGGCCCGGCCCAACCCTGTCTGCCCGGGACCCCAGCCCACAGCCAGGCTCCTGCCCACCCCGCTCATCGCTCGTCTCCCCTCAGCTTCCGCAGCCCTCAGGGCCGGAGCCCCCACCTGCTGACTCCGCCTTTCCCTCGGCTTAGGCTCCTGACAGCCCTTCCCCCACCCGGCCGAGCTTGGGTCCCCTCTGGGTCCCCAAGCGGTGCCCCTTTGTGTACAGGTGGGGCTTGTGCTGCCGTCAGACACGTGGCCGTCGCTTTTCTTGCAGACTTAAAAAGCTGTGCCATAAAAAAAAAAAAAAACCCAAAAAACCAACAACAACAAAAAGAAAGTTTAAAGTTTCAGTGTTATGTACAAGCTGGCACTCGGATCTTGCTCTTGACTTTTTTTACAGCTGTGTCAGGGTTTCAGAAGTGTGACTTTTTTTTTTTTTTTTTTTTTTTTTAAAAGCCCCCCCACCTTCCTGCCTTCTTATCTGTGTAAGGAAGGGTGGGGGGAAATATGTGTCTGTTCTCTGGTGATCTCTGTTTTTTGAAAACTGCCAAGTGTGGCCCTGACCTGACACCCTTTTCCTTGCTATTATTTGCCCCCAGGAGTTTGCAGTCACCTGGTTAGCCTTGGCCTCCCCTCCTTACTACCCCTGCCCTTGAGACTTCTTAACCTGCCTCCCTGAAGGATGCCAGAGTGTCTGCTGGATTGACTCGCTCAGCCCAGGGCTGTGAGGTGTAGTTCAGGTTGTTGTTGGTAGCTCTGGCGACTTGGGAATGGGAGTTCGAGGGAAAGTGGCTTCTACTGGTTCAGCCTGTGCAAAAGGAAACCTCCATCTCCTAAAATAGTTTTGATTTGAGTTTGCATGTTTGGATGACCCAGTTTCTTGACACTGGGTTGGGACTCCTGTTTGCCTGCCTGAATGCAACTTTAGATAGTTGGACCGGTGAAAAGCCGTTTCAGTTCTTGGTTTCCATTTGGGGATTTGAAAGTACAGAAATGGTTAGCACCTGACCACTAACATCCTGTCTGTCGGCGTTGCTGGCTCCTGGCATTAAGAGTGAGTTAGGATCTCAAATGCCTGGTCCTGTAGACATACTAATAGCCCTCAGGCCTCCTCTGAGGCTCTGCCCATCCTGCAAGTCCTTAGAGAAAGCTACTGCCAGAGCTTAGTGACCTTTGCATGTTGTCACTTGGCTTCTCTGTTCTGTGAGTTATTTCTTGAGCTAAAGACTCAGAACTCATTCCCCGGGGTTTTGGAGTTACAGTAGCTTTCAAGTTTGCGATCTCACTAGAGACGGGCCTACTAGTAAAACATGAAGCAACTGACACAAACAAGCTAAGATAGTGCAGAAGGAGCTAGAGAAGATGCTGTGGGGAGTCCTCAGACAAGGCAACAGTCTTTCTGTGACGTGCAGTTTTGGCTGGCTTCTCAGCTTGTTGTAGGTGCTGTTTTGGCCGGATTCTCACTGGCCCATTTCTCCTGCCACCCTGTTAGTGTGTGTATGCTTTTGTGCAACCCACAGACTCCGCATGGCTTTAACCTTTTAAGTGAAGTAGATGTTAAACTCTTTTTGTTTGTTTGTTTGTTTTTGTTTTTCGAGACAGGGTTTCTCTGTGTAGTTTTGGAGCCTGTCCTGGAACTAGCTCTTGTATGCCAGGCTGGTTTTGAACTCACAGAGATCCTCCTGCCTCTGCCTCCCCAGTGCTGGGATTAAAGGTGTGAGCCACCACCACCTGGTTGGATGTTTAACTCTTGTTACACGTGGTTATTGAACTTGGCTTACTTGTGTACCAACAGTTTCTTTTTATAGTTTTGCTCATTTACTTCCTGTCCACAGACCTTTGGGTTACAGTGAGAGTTGAGTAGTTAAGTCATACACTGAATGGCCGCAGAATCGGAGTTATTCCTAACCTAGCCTTTTCCAGAACGTTTGTTGATCTGTTTTCTGATATAGTTGGCAAACAACCCCTATTTTACTTGTTCGTCAATATATTAAATATTTTTTAAAGTCTTTTATTCTTTGATGATTTCATACATGTATATAATATGTCTCTGAGCCATCTTGTCTGTCTCTTCCCCTTTTCCTTTTTGAGTTTTCTAATTTTGATAATACAAGAGGATGTTTGGGGGCTGGGGAGATGGCTTAATGTAAAGAGTACTGGCTGCTCTCCCAGAGGACTTGGGCTCAGTTACCAGCACCCACCTGATGGCTCACAACTACCTATAACTCCAGTCCTAGGGGATATGGCATCTTCTGGCCTCTACAGACACCGTACCCATGCGATACAGGTGAAACAACCATACACATTGTGGTTTGAATAGAATGGTCCCCATAGGCTGGTGTGTTTGAATGCGTGGTCATCAGTCATCAGGGAGTGGCACTGTTTGAAAGGATTAAAAGAATTGGGTATGGTCTTGCTGGAGGAAGTGTGTCACTGGGATGGGCTTGAAGGTTTCAAAAAGCTCACAGAAGGTCTAGCATCTCTCTGTCTGCTGCCTGCAGATCAAGATGTAGCTCTAACTATTGCTCTGGTGCCAGGTGTGCTGCCATGCTCCCCACATGTTCCCACCATGTTCACACCTTGCTTGCATGCAGGAAAAACAGCATACATAGGAAATTAAAATAAATCTTAAAAAATAAAAAGCAAAAAGAACGTTTGGGGAAACATTTTCAGTGAATTGCATCAGAGAACACATTTGCTTCAAAACTAGGCAATAAAATAGATGGTAATTTTGGAAGATTACTTAATAGCATTGGTCTCTCCTTTTCAGATTATTTATGTAAACCTGAAGACAATGTCTACAGTATTGATTTTACACGCTTCAAAATTCGAGATCTGGAGACTGGGACGGTGCTTTTTGAGATTGCCAAGCCTTGCATCTCAGGTAGGCCTGGGTATTGTGGAGTCACCCACCGCCTAGGGAAGGAAGGTCTTTGGAACAGCACATGTGTTTCTGGGTTCTACTGTGTCCCCATTCCGTGACTGAGATCACTTCCTGTGGCCTTGCCTGCCAGTCACACTAGTTTGGAGCTTTGTTAAAAGACTAATTTTTAAAATTTTTTATTTTTGTGTGTATGTATAAATATGTGGCTACACATGCCAGTGTGTACTCATGGAGGGCAGAGGACAACTTAGTGGAGTCAGTTGTCTGTTTTCACATTTAAGTGGGGTCCAGGTATTGGATTCAGGATGCCTGGCTTGTGTGGCAGGCTCCTTTACACCTGAGCTACTCACTGGCTTGGTTTTGTTTTTTGGGGGCAGGTTATGTAGCCCCGGTTGGCTCAGAAGCCTGCCGTGAACCTCCCTCCCCCACCATGTGCTAGGTTTACAGGCTCATGTCATCATAACCAGCATGGGAAGCTGACATTTATTGTGTCGTGGCACTATGTAGGTGCTTATCATGTCTGTCGTTGTGAGAGGCTCAGCCGCTGTTTACTGAGGGAGCTGAGGCTCAGAATTTACAGGGAACATTTCCTTAAGACCCTGAGCTTGTTCAGTGATTCACTTTGCCTGCAGTGCCAGAATTAACCCCTGCAGCCAGACTCTACTGAGGAAAGCCCTCCCGAGTCCTGTAGGCTGGGCAGCCTTTCAGGCTCTTGCTTACCTTTAATACTGCTTTAGGCTTCCTACCCAGGCCTGGTTTAGCGGTTTTGTTTTTGTTTTTTGTTTTGAAGGCTTAAAAATTTTAAAAACCACAACAACTGGAAAAATGTTAGCCGGGTGATGGTAAGTGTAAGCCTTTAATCCCAGCCCTCAGGAGTCAGAGGCAGATGGATCTCTGTGAGTTCCAGGACAGCCGGGGCTATACAGAGAAACCTTGTCTCCAACCACCCCCCGCAAAAGAAAATGATATGTGTGCCACAGTGTATGTCCATCATGGGTTTGTGCACATGAGTACGGTTGCCTCTGGAGGTTAGAAGAGGGTGTTGGATCCCCTGGAACTGCAGTTACAGGCAGCTGTGAGTTGTAGACAGGGATGCTGGGAACTGAACTTAAGTCCTCTGCAAGAAGGACTAACTGCTGAGCCAGCTTTCCAGCCCCTTGCGTTTGTTTGTTTTTTTTTAAATAAAAGATTATTCTTAAAGTATACAATAGACTCCAAGACAACATTCCTTTCTGGCTGTGGGTGACAAAAGATGAGTGCCAGAATATAGTCACCGAGCTTTCAGGTGCAAGAACAGCTTGTTCTTTCACTTTTGCTGTTTTTGTTTTTATTTTTTTGGTTTTGTTTTGAGACATAATCTATGTAGTTAGAGGTAGCCTCAAATTCACTGTTTAAAAGAACATAACCTGAGCTGTCCTCCTGCACCTCCACTCCTCAGTGTTAAGATTGTAGTGTAGGCTTTTGTTCTGGTTTTAATTTTTATTGTTACCTCAAATGAGTATGATGTGTGTATGGGGGGAGGGTGCAGAGGACAATTTGTGAGAGTTGGTTCTCTCCTCCCACCAGGTAGGTCACAGGGATGGAACTCAGGTCTCCAAGTACTTTACTGTAGGCAGAAGTTTCTGTCCTGCCAGCAGCTCCCAAATAAACACACTGAGGCTTATATTAATTACAACTGCTCAGCCAATAGCTCAGGCTGATTACTAACTAGCTGTTACAGCTTAACCCATTTCTATTAATCTATGTATCTCCACATGGCTCATGGCTTTACTTGTCCTCTAGCATGTCTTGCTCCTTTTGAGTATCCTGGTAACTCCTCTGACTCCACCCTTCCTCATCCCTTCATTCTCAGTTTGGCTTTCCCACCTAACTTTATCCTGTTCAGCTTTTGGCCAATCAGCTTCTTTATTAAACCAATTACAGCAACATATATTCACACAGTGTACAGGATTATCCCCCAGCACTTTACTGACTGAGCCATCTTCTTGGCCTCTCAACTGTGATCTCATTATTTATTTATTTTGGTTTTTTGAGACAGGGTTTCTTTGTAGCCTTGGCTGTTCTGGAACTTACTCTATAGACCAGGCTGACCTCGAACTCACAGAGATCTGCATGCCTCTGCCTCCCTAGTGCTGGGAGTAAAGGTGACGCCACCAACACCCGGCTCAACTCCTGGTTTTTTTTTGTTTTGTTTTCTTTTTTTAATTTATTACATATACAGTGATCTGTCTGCATGCATGCCAGAAGAGGGCACCAGATCTCATTATGAGTGGTTGTGAGCCATCATGTGGTTGCTGGGAATTGAACTCATGACCTCTGGAAGAGTAGCTAGTGCTCTTAACCACTGAGCTATCTGTCCAGCCTCATCTGTGATTTCTAATGAAACTTATTTTGCAAAGTTCTTCATTCGATTTGCTACTCAGCATAAGCTTGCAACTTTGTGAAGATACACATGTCGAGATCTCAGAGAAATCAGAATGACTCCCGAGCTGGGGCTGCCTTTCAGGAGTGGAGCACTTGGTCAGCAGAAGGCTTGGCTTAGTCTCCCAAACTGAGATGGATAGACAGACTATCCTAGGAAAGGCTTAGATGGATAACCGAGCCTTGGCTCAGCTTTGCCTTGTGTTTCTACTACCAGAATCCAGTCCTGATCAAGGCACTGAGACCTCTGAAAACCTGCTGCAGATGCTGCAAGGTGTCTGGTCTCCATCCCTCCCAGCTCTGCCTCTATGTGCTCACACTGGTGCAGTGCCCTCCTGTACGGCGTGTCCAATGAGCTGCAATCATACCAGTGGATCCAGGCCCCTTAGCCTGTCAATGGGAGCCCCAAATCAGGGTAGTTTCCCAGTGCTCCTGGGACATCACAGGCAGAGTATGTTTGGTGTTGATGGTGCCCATGTATGAGACTCCCTCCATGTTCATATTACAACAGTTCAGGTCTCTATCTGGACTCAACAGTAGGCTAGAGCAGAGGCAAGCATTGACCACATGCTGGTCCCTGGCCAATCTTTCCACCCTTCCAGGTAGTCAGAGAATTGGACCTGGGATGGCCTGGAATAGACAGGACTGCCTCAAGGCTTTATTGAAATTATAGTTACTTCCCTTGTTTGCCTTTCCTAAGTGTTTATATTGTTTGAAGGGACATGGGGTCTGTTAAACCTCTGTAACCTAGTTTCCTGGTTAGTGGTCAGAGCAGACCTAGTCTGTGGTAAGGGTCATGTCACAGACTCTGTATGTAGCTGTGTTTCTGGCTTTACCTAGGACATGCCCACTCCCCAGATGATGGAGGCAGATAGCTGTATTTAAAGACAAGCTGAGGCAGGTGGGCCTCATTCAGAACTTGCTGCCTTCATTAAGTGTTTGGGAACATCAGTATGACAGCCTTTTGAACTTGTTTCCTTGTCTGCGAAATAGAAACACACGTAACTCCTCCCTGCAGGGCCACTGTGAAGCCTGGTGTGCAGCAAGTGTGTAGCAAATGGGGTAACTAGTGTGAGTCTGTCAGTCAGCAGTTGTGCTGGGTAGATGGTGGCATGCTAAGGCAAGACTGTTCTTCCAGACCAAGACCAGGAGGCAGAGGAGGAGAGTGTGGATGTGGATATCAGCGTTGGGCGTTTTGTTCGCTATCAGTTCACTCCGGCATTTCTCCGCCTCCGCACAGTTGGTGCCACGTGAGTGCTATTGTTTTTATGAGGGTACAATATGGTGCTCATTCTCAGGGAAGAATGTGCTCAGTGGGGTTGAGGTTGGCTTCAGAGGAAGGAGGAAGTGAAGGAAGGCTAATAGAAACATGTTTTACAGGGTAGAGTTCACTGTGGGGGACAGACCTGTGTCAAACTTCCGGATGATTGAACGGCACTACTTCCGGGAGCGTTTGCTGAAGAACTTTGACTTTGATTTCGGCTTCTGCATCCCCAGCAGTAGAAACACGTGTGAGCACATCTATGAGTTCCCGCAGCTCTCTGAGGATGTCAGTATGTATTCTCTCAGTTTTTCTTCAGGGCTGTAGATTCTGAGGTCTGCAAGGAGCTAACCCTGCATCTGGTCCAGTGGCTCCTTTTGCAGAAGTGCTGATTTGGTATTGTCTAACCTCAGTCTTGTGTTTCATACTCTGACTGCTTCTGTGGGACTCAGGAAGAGTGTAATGACACAGGCACCCCGGGCCTGAGTAGATAGGACAGCCTCCTCCTCACTCTACTCCCAGCTCCACTCTGTTCTCACTTCCTCTGCACCTTTCGGAGCTGATACATTATGGCACTTTCTCACAAAGTCTCAGGCCCTTAAAGATTGCACACTCGGGGCTGGAGAGATGGCTCAGAGGTTAAGAGTGCCGACTGCTCTTCCAGAGGTCCTGAGTTCAATTCCCAGCAACCACATGGTTGCTCACAAACATCTGTTATGAGATCTGGTGCCCTCTTCTGGTGTGCAGATATACATGGAAGCAGAATGTTGTATACATAATAAATAAATAAAATCTTCAAAAAAAAAAAAAAAAAAAAAAAGATTGCACACTCTGGAGCGGGCACTCCTGTCACGACAACACCATCCAGGTGAGAAGTCTGCTGAGATGTGGGGCGGGGCTTTGTGACGTCTCACTCTGACTTGAGTTGTCCTGGAATATGCGAATACTTAGAAGAATAGATTAACCTGTGAAGCCAGATAGGCCACAGGGTTTGGAGGTCATCTGAATGTGAACAGAATTTTTGGCCTGGGAGAGCTCAGAGAGCTTAAAATCTCTGATACCTTCTAAGACCTGCACTAGAAAGGGCAAGAACCTATTAAATCAGAACTGACAGGAGGTGACTATAATTGCATTTACCTTCCAGTGTGGAAGGAGGTCAAGGAGAGAATTCAGACAGACAGACAGAGGCTTTAGTTCTAGGCCTTGTCTGGATCTCACAGGTAAATAAATACCAGAGCCCTCTCTAGAGAATGGCTTCTCTATTATTCATCTGGACGTGTACCTAGGATTCCTTTGGCTTTCAGCAGGCTCATAAAAAGTGGAAGGGCTTGAGAATAAAAGCACTGGCCGCTCTTCCAGAAGACCTGGGTTCAGTTTCCAGTACCTACAAGGCAGCAGCTCACTAGTCTCTAGTCTCTTAGCTCCAGTTCCAGGCATCTGATGCCCTCTTGTGGCCTCTGAAAGTATAGCACAAATGTGGTACACAGACATACATGTAGGCAAAAAAACACCCATACAATAAAATAAATAAATTTTTAAAAATTATCAAAACAAAAAACAAAGAAGTAATTTGGGCATGGTGGTGCCTCCCTTTAACCCCAGCACTTGGGTTGGCAGAGGCAGGTAGAGCTCTGTGAGTTTGAGGCCAGAGTGTTACAGTGAGATCCTGTCTCCACAAACAAAACAACCCAAAGAAGCAGGTATAGAGAGGCAGGATCAAGGGTTTTCATTGAAATGTCTAGAGTTGGGCAGCAGGCCAGAAGCCAGGTGATGCAAGAGCACCGAGAAGTAAGTGGCTGTGACAGAGAGAAGGGGAGGCTAAAGTGTTGATTGCATCCTTGTACTGAAGCTGACCTCATGCTCCATCAGGAGCCCTCACCTCCCTGATTCATTTGTTTTATTTACCTCCATGTCCTGGCAGAGCAAAGGGCTGGTTTATCAATGGTGGAGGAATGCTGAGTTGTGGGACATACTCACAGTCTTTGCTTTTTCTTCCCTTTCCCTGACTTGCAGTTCGTCTGATGATCGAAAACCCGTATGAGACCCGCTCGGACAGCTTCTACTTTGTTGACAACAAGCTGATAATGCACAACAAGGCTGACTATGCCTATAATGGAGGCCAGTAACTGCCCCAGGAGTGGACAGGGATGGTCCTTTGCTGCCACCACGAGGCACATGGGGGAATAGCAGCTACTGCTGGTCAACACCCGTTGAACATGGTCCAGCACGCTGCAGCTGGGGTGGTGGTTTGTGCTCCAAGGAGGTGCCAGCCAGCAGTTTCTTTTCCCAGTATTTTTTCCCCTGCCCCCTAGTTCGCAGAGGTATTATAGTGAGGTAAAAGATTAGGATAAGGTTCCTGGGATCCAGATAGAAACGTTTATTTCTGTGTAGTCTTAGCTATGCACTGGTTATCCCGACTAGCCTGACTGTCCAGGCACAGCTGTGTCACTGAGAAGATGCAGGCTGCGCCAGCCTGAGGGCTACCAGCTGTTCTGCAGGTTCCTGGGTGCCGTGGGCATCTGAAAGCCCCTCGCTTACTCCCTGGCCATGTTGTTGCATTGGTATAGCCTGCCTTCAGCCCATGAATAGTCTGAAGAGACTTGAAAACACAGGGAGGGGGGGCAGAGCCCAGAGGCACTGGGATGGGAGGTGATGCCAGACTGAAAGACAGGTTTTTGAGGTTACTGCTTCTCTGCCTTCAGGGACCCACAGCCAGTTCTAGGGGAGACTGTGGTCTCAGCCTGGTGGTGCCTTCCTGTTCTTACTAGAGGCTGCGTGAGTGAGCGTGCTCTGCTCCCCTGGTGACTATATTCTGGGACTCATCTTTGTCACCCACAGCCAGAAAGGAATGTCTTGGAGTCTGTTGTATACACTTGTCTCTCAGTTCAGTTCAGGGCTGTTGTGCTGTGGGCTCTTTGTTCTCAGACTTCTTCTGGGGAGTTCTCACATAGTGTCTTACATAGTGTCAATGTTGTAGCACCTGCCATATGGGTAGATCTCTGCTAGGGTTGACCTGGCTCGGGGTGGGAGATGCATGGCTGCAGCCTGCTTCATGCTTTAGAGAGAGAGCTGACCTGTCTGCACAGCAAGCCTGGAAGATGGGCCTCGGTCAGGATTTGCCTCTGGAACTCTGAGTCTCCTGCTCAGGAGTGTTTTCCTGTCTGTTTGCCTCTCTACTGAAGTCGTTCCTGGAGCTACCTGGCAGATGTCCTGATCCACGCATATTCTCATCTTCCTTTAAGCTGCTGTGTTTGTTAGAACCAGCAGCATCGGCTGAGGTTGCCTGCCAGAGCACTGTGTCCTCAGACAGCTTCCTGCACTTGTGGGCATCAGGTGTCCTCAGAGCCTCACTGACTAACTCCCATCTCTGTGGCCCCCCAGGTTGTCTGTGTGGATGGCTTTATGACTCTGCTGTGGTGCAGGTCCATCTAGCACTGATGGACGTGTCAGTAGCAAGGGGCAGAAGTGTCTGTGAGGCACCACGTTACCTGTGATGAGAGCAGCTTCCCAAAGTGCTCTCTGAGAGGAAGGGCGTGCTTTGGCCAGTGTCACTTTGTGTGGCTTCTAGAGCATCAGCACCCTTGAGTTTGGGTGGGGCCTGTTCTCTGTATCTACCTTGGGACTGGCAATGCCACATGCTGGAAACCTTCGGAATGAGAAACCCTAATTACCCATCATGCTGCACTGGATTTACCCACTGAGACAGGAGAGCCCGGGTGCCCTCTGCATGGGCACCTCCTGACCATTCTAGTGAACCTCAGAGTTGGACCACTCCAAATCTAGGTGCCTTCACTGTGCTCTGCCCTACGCTGCAGGGGAGCTGCCTGCATTGCTCCTCACCTGCACAGACAGTACCTGCCATCTGTACTTCTCTGTGGCTCCTCTGGTGGACTTTGTGTGTTCTTGCCAACTTCGGGGTGCCCCTTGATCTGTTACAGTCATATGAGGAGAGATTTGGTTTCCAGTATTTAAATAAATACTACCTAGGACGAGCTTCCTGGAGCCGCTGGAGCTGTGTGGTCTTTCATCAGTGGAGTCCGGTTTGGGCTGCTCCTGTCTTCTGGCATGCAGTTTCTTACCTGTAGTGCTGGCTTTTGCTTGGAGAGCCCCAGAGGATGGAAGACCTGGGCACACTGGCTTGAGAAGGGCTGGATCCCCTTTCTAGGTAGTTGTGGTCACGTTGAAGACCACCCAGGCCGGGGCTCGGTCATTGTTGGTGGGATGGGCCAGACTGGTCCTTCTCTGCTGATGGCCAGTGGTCCATGTCTGGCTTCTTAGGGAAGTGTTGCTGTTTCCACCTTTGTACTTGACTTATGTAAACTGGAATTTATACTTTGAAAGTTACCAGCAGTGTGAGAAGTCACACTGTTCAGGAATGTCAACCATCCACAGTGGCTTCCAGTGAAGCAGCAGGAGAGAAAAACTGCTCCAGTGTGGTGAGGCCATGCCCTGTCAAGAGTGGGAATCTAAGCTGATGGCAGCTCCCACCAAGACCTCGTCTCAGCAGCCAGGCAGAACCCTGCCTGCTACAAGGCAGGACACTGCTTGAGCTGCATCCCAGCCCTCTGCCTTGGGCTAAGCTGCCCTTCTGCTTCTCTGAGGTTAAAGCTGATCTGCTTTTATTCTGTTCTAAACCACAAACATGGAGTAAAGATGGCCAGTAACTGGGGCTAAGATCTGCTGTTGTTTCAGGTTAGCCCTGTGCTCTCCTGCATTGACTCTCTGAAGCTTCTCCAGATCTGGGTATTTCCTGTCCCAAGGACAGTGCTATACAGTGTCTGGGACTGGCCATAGATTATCAAAATCTCCACATTCTGTGTCCAGAGCATTGTAGCCAAAAGGAGGGTTGTGGGGGGGTGCCCCCGATGTTTCACAAAGGATCATGTGATGTCATCAAAGTTGTGAGAGTCTATTTTCCCTGTAAATCTATTTTTCACAGAATGTAAGAAACATCTCTGTCCTTCCCACTCCACCCAAGATCCTCACTCCAGAACAAACCAGGTGACTCTTTGTATAAGATGTTATTTTACCACAAGAGATAGTAATAAAGATTTTCACAATATGTCTGTGGTGATATATTATTTATGATTTATTGAAGCTTGCCTGAGGATAGAGAAAGCAAAGCCATCCACAAGCCACAGAGCCAAGCAGTGGTAATACACACCTTTAATCCCAGGACTCAGGAGACAGGCAGATGGATCTCTGTTAGTTCAAGGCCACACTGAGCTACACAAAATTGATTCAGCTCTAAAGAAAAACAGCTCACACAAAGGTGATCTCAGCACTTGGGATCACAGGCCTTTAGTCCTAGATTTGAGAGGTATTAGAAGAAGAAGCAAAGTCAGTATTACAAATTTATTCTGCAGCCACGCTGAGGACAGGACAGCCCTTTCAGCCAGAGGTAAGGTAGTGTCTGGCTACTTTGCTTGTCGGATCTTCTTCAGCTTGAAGCTTGAACCCCAGTATCTGCTTCTGGGTTTTATTTGTGTTACATACTGGCACCCAACGTTAAAGTACAAATTCATGGAAAAGGCCACTTTGAAGCCACTGGCCCAGGCCCAGGCCCAGGCCTGAGTTGCTGGCGGGGCTCCTGCTGGAGTCCTTGCCCTACTGGCGAGGTTTTCTTTTGTTGTTTCCCCAAATCTTTGAGCAAGTTTGAGATTTTCCTGTTGTTGCCTTTCTAAACCATTTTCAGCTGCCACTGGAACTTGGGAGGCTTTGCCTTCAGGTCAATCCTGCCACATGTGTTTCTTCCTAACAATCCTATGTGCTTTTTTTCTTTTTTTTTTGGATGCCCCTCCCCCCTATTTCCCAAGTAGGTTGTGGACTTTCCCTACAGCCCCTCTCCTTGTGATGACACACTCATCTCATGGCCACAAGCTAGTCCTCCAACTCAGAGGGGCTACACCTCATAGTTCACTGACACTGTCCGCAGACATGGTAAGACTTGGGAATTTTTTTTTAAGATTTTATTTATTATGTATACAACATTCTGCTTCCATGTATATCTGAACATCAGAAGAGGGCACCAGATCTCATAATGGATGGTTGTGAGCCACCATGTGGTTGCTGTGAATTGAACTCAAGACCTCTGGAAGAGCAGTCAGCACTCTTAACCTCTGAGCCATCTCTCCAGCCCTAAGGGAATTCTTAAAGGAAGAGATTAGTTAAAAATGTTTTTCCCCCACATTAAAAAGTGGGAAACATGGGCACTAGAGAGATGGCTCAGTGGTTAAGAACACTGGTGGCTCTTTCAGAGGACCCAAGTTCAATTCCCAGCACCCAAATGGCGGCTCACAACTGTCTTGAGAGTCCAGTTCCAGGGGAATCAGGAGGGTCAGGCATACTTGTTGCCATTCCTAGGTTGATGGGCTTGGACTATATAAGAAAGGCAACCACATGCAATGGGCCTAACACTGAGCCCTCCAGACCTCTTTGGAAACCACAAGACTAGTGGGAGAAATAAAAAGTAAAAAAAAAAAAAAAAATTCCTAGGGCCAACGAGTAGATGTAGAGGAGTTGGAGGAGGCCTTTAATCCCAGAGGAGGAAGGATGCTGGCAGGGAAGCCTCGGTGAGGTGGCCTTTATGAAGGACGTTCAGGCAGAAGGGGAAAAGCTGCCTGCCTTGTGTGACTGGAGCAAAGATGGTCAGGGAGTCAGGGATTATGCTACCAGGATGCAGAAGCAGGTGGGCAGAGGTGGGGACTAGCTATTTTCTTCTCTCCCTAATACTGGCACCCAGTACCTTATGCCTCTTAGGCAAGGGCACTACCATTGAGCTGTAGTCCCCAGATACCACAAAGTTGCCCAAGCTGGCGGTGAATTTACTTTGGAACACAGGGAGGCTTGGGACTCGAAATCCTCCAGCCTCAACCGAGGATTAATAGCTTGTTTTTATTTTATTTTTATTTTATGTACATTGGTGTTTTGCCATGGGTGTCGTGTCCCCTGCAACTGGAATTACAGACAGCTGTGAGCTGCCATATGGGTTGCTGGGAATTGAATCAAGGACCCCTGGAAGAGCATCCAGTGTTCTTAACCGCTGAGCCATCTCTCCAGCCCCTTGCGTTTGTTTTTTATGCCTCTGCGTTGAAAGCAGCCTTACTAAAGATGAGGGTTGGAAAAGGAGCTTTTGCACTTTGATAAAGGAGTTTTGACAGACTTTTTTCACTCCGGATTGGCGGGAGTTAACATCCCGCTGTCTCGTCCCTAGGGCGCAAGCGCGTGTCGAGCCCCGCCTCTAAGGCAGATAGGCGGGACCCAGGCCCCGCCCCTGCGGTCGGAGCAATTGCACTGCTGAGGTCCGGAGGTCTGCGCCCATGGCCGCCGCGCTGCTCGCCCGGGCCGGTGGCCCGCTCCGCCGAGGTGAGTGCGCTCGAGCTGCGCCCGCGGAGCCCCAGGGCTTCGCACGGTGGAGATGCTGGCGGCGGGTCCTGCCGCGGGCGGACGAGCGGGAGTTACCCCTGGCTGAGCGCGCCCTTTGCCCTAGTTCGGTGGCCTCTGGCGCGTGCCGGGCCCCAGGCTTTGCGGGGACCCTGGCTACTGCTCGGTTCCCTTCCTGTACGAATCCCATCGCCAGCTCCTGTCTGCACCGCCGCATCCACACCTTTGCACCACCCCATTTAAGCTCCAGCCGAGGTCCTGGGTGAGTTGGTCCTCTATTTCGAGGCCTGGCATTGATCTCCGACCTGTGACCTTGGACTCGACTCTCAGCATCAATTGGTCCAAGTGTGAACTGTTAATCGCCCTAGGAGTTGTCTTAAATCACAGGATACCTATAAAATCAGAGCGGTTGGCATCTAACGGGTGTTCCCATAACGATAGCCTTTATTTATTTGTTTATTTTTTATGGCTTTTTTTTTTTTTGAGACAGGTTTCTCTGTAGCTTTTTTTTTTTTGGGGGGGGTGTAGGTTCCGAGACAGGGTTTCTCTGTAGCTTTGGAGACTGTCTTAGAACTCACTCTTTAGACCAGGCTGGCCTCGAACTCACAGAGATCCACCTGCCTCTGCCTCCCGAGTGCTGGGATTCAAAGCCTGCGCCACCCCCGCCCCGCACCTTTAGTAATTTGTAATACTGTTTTGTCTTATTTGTAGCAAACCTGAATCAGATCCACAGTAATAATCGGACCTGTGCTAAATATCAGCCATTAGTACTTCTTTAATTCCCCCACTCCTGGTAGCTTCCTGCTGTCGATTTCCACACTTTATAGAACTCCAGTCCAGTGAAACTTAAAACCCCTTTCCAAGGTGTTGCAATTGGGATTATATCGAGGATGCAGTGTTTAGCCAGAAGTTAAGCATTGGGTTAGCCTGGGCTTTTCAGTAACAACCTTACTGACGTATCAATAAAGTTTTTTTTTTTTTCTTTGAGAAGAGGGTAGGGACCCGGGAGTAGTGCTCTATTTTTTTCATAACAGTTTATTTTATGTGTACAAGTGTTTTGCTTGCATGTAAGTGTGCCCCATACAAGTGTTCCCAGAGGCCACATGAGCGTATCAGACAATTGTAAGCCACCCCATGGGTGGTGGGAACTGCACTAGCTCCTCTGGAAGAGCAGCAAGTACTCTTAATTGCTGAGCCATCTCTCCAGCCCCTGAGATGGAATCTTGATATATTGCCTAGGCTAGCCTGAACTCCAGGCTTAACCCACGCAATACCTCAGCATTTGCTGCTTTTGCAGAGGACCTGAGTTTAGATCCCAGCACCCATGTTGGGCCTCTCACGGCTGCCTGTAACTCCAGGCCCCTGGGATCTGATGCCTTCTCCTGGCCTCCATGGCCACCTACAGGCTTGTGCACAAACATAAGTACAGATACACGGGTAATGTAAAAAGAAATAACTCTTAAGATCCCTTGCACTGCCCTTCCTCGCTCTTGCTCCTCTCTGGTAGCTCTCCAGCCTCAAGACTGGCGCAGGTTACACACTGTTTACCAGTCTGTGGAACTGCCAGAGACACATCAGATGTTGCGTCAGACGTGCCGTGACTTTGCTGAGAAGGAGCTGGTCCCCATTGCAGCCCAGCTGGACAAGGAGCATCTCTTCCCCACAGCTCAGGTGAGCACAGCAGTCTCAGCCACCTGCCCTTGGAAGGGCAGGAAGCTCAGTACATGCTCAGAAGGTTTTAAAAGATTTATTAATTTAATGCCTATGTGTGTGCCTGCTTTTCTGCCTGTGTATCATGTGCATGTAATGCTTGTCAAGGCCAGAAGATGGCGTCATATCCCCTGAAACTGGAGTTAGCAGGCAGTTTAAGCTACCATGTGGGTCCTGGGAATTGAACCCTGGCCCTCTGCAAGAGCAGCAAATGCAGCTGGGCGGTGGTGTCGCATGCCTTTAGTCCCAGCGCTGGGAGGCAGAAGCCAACGTGGTCTACAGAGGGAGTTCCAGGACGGCCAGGGATGCACAGAAAAACAAAACAAAAGGAGAGGGGGGAGCAAAAGCAATTGATTTGGTGACTCCACAGCCACTAAGCAAGCACCCAGTTCAGGTGGCACAGATGTTGTCCCACCCTGAGCCACCCCATGACTTCCTCCTCCTGGTTTTACTCCTGCCATGTGTGCAAGCGTGTCAATCTCAGGACCATCCCCAGGGTAAAGCCTGTCTGTGACCAGTGACACCTGGCGACATGTCCAACACAACTGGGTGCCTTTGTTCACCCACAGACACGCACAGGAACACTCATATCAGCTCAACTGGAAATAGGCCAAAAAATCCACCTGGAGTAGAATGGGGAAAGTCGGGCTGGGAGTGGTGGGGCACACCCTTAATCCCAGAGAAGCCTAGAGCTCAGGAGGCTGACCAGCATCTCTGTGAGTTTGAGGACTGCCTGGTCTACAGGCTGAGTTCCCGGCCACCAGGACTGTAGAGTGACTGAAGCCCAGGGCTTGGAGATTCCTCAGCTTTTTGCTGAGGAATGGTTTTATTTCCCAGCATAATACTGGCAGGTTTACCAAGGGGCTGAGGAGCTGCTGTGAGGAAAGTGGGCAAGACTTGGGGGCGGGGTGAGTTTCTGCCTTGTTGGCTGTTTCACAACCAAATTGGACTTCAGTCTTTTTATGTCTAAACTAACAAAGGAAAGAAATATGAGTTTACAATGCCAGTGTTTACAGCTTCAGTTCTTAACCTTGAAATGGTAAGTTTGTTTGGGGGTGGGGTGGGGTGTTAGGTTTAGAGTCCTGGGCCTTGCAGGTGCCCAGTGACTGAAAAAAAGAAAAAGGAGAGAAAAGGACACGGCTTCCCCAGGTACGGTGGAGGAGTAAGGTTATTGTAGATGTGTGGGAGAGCATAGTCAGAGGCAGGGACATCTAAGAGTCAGAGTGGACATGACCAGGCTGAGCTGGGCCATGTGGGGAAAGAGAGAAGGGAGCAGGTGCAGTAGCCAGGAAGCCAAAGGCACAAAAAAGAGCAGGAAACCAAAATGTCTGGATTATTATATGGGGGAGAGCCTCTTTGGGAAAGGCTGCCCTGTCCCTGCGATGCAGAGTTCAGTGTAGAGGGCAGAGTATGCGAACCATACCCTGTAACAGGTAGGGACTGAGGGATGCTGGGAGAACCTGGTGGCCTGGTCCAGCTTAAATACGTTCAATAGGCACCTGAGCCATTGTCCCGGGTTTCAGCAGGTGTAAGCCGGGAGGATACAATTGTTCAAGCAGGGTAAAGAGTGAAATGGCACACGCAAAGGTCCTGTGGAGTTATCATGCTTACACGAGTGTAGGGGACTGAAGAAAAGTCAGTGTGGCATATTGCTTTCTGCTCCTTACCCCAAATCCTTCAGTGGGCACCCTCTACCTGTTCCCTGCTGCAGCTGTGGGCAGAGATAGAGGCATTGCAAAGTGTGGAGGCTGCATGGCTGGAATGACTGGTGCTGTCATGGGAACCTCTGCTGGGGGTATGCAATCACTGTGTGAATGTTAGTGTCCGTGGCCTGAGCGTGTAGGCTCCGGCTCAGGATGGAGGGTTGGAATTGGGGAGAATAGGCTCAAAGCAGCTGCCACTGATGAGACTTCTCTTCCTGGGGCCAGGTGAAGAAGATGGGTGAGCTTGGGCTGCTGGCCATGGATGTCCCGGAGGAGTTCAGCGGTGCGGGCCTGGATTACCTGGCTTACTCCATTGCCCTAGAGGAGATCAGCCGTGGCTGCGCCTCCACTGGAGTTATCATGAGTGTCAACAATGTGAGCCTTCCTGGGTCCTGGGCACAGTTGGAGAAACTGCCTGGGTTATGTATGGATCCTTGTAGACAGACACCCGTGACTTTAGTCCCCTGGGAGGGTGTCTGGAGATAGTGAGTCTTGGGGCTGCCTCCAACTCTCCGCTCTCCTCCCAGTCTCTCTACTTGGGGCCCATCCTGAAGTTTGGATCCCCAGAGCAGAAGCAGCGGTGGATCACCCCTTTCACTAGTGGCGACAAAATCGGCTGCTTTGCCCTGAGTGAGCCAGGTACTGCTTGTGCAGGGTCCCCTGTCTCCTCACGTCAGAATCGGGGTGACAGATGTCCCCAGAGGGGGAGGCAGCCCTGGGATCTGCTGTTCCTGGAGTCCTGTACCACTGGAGGGGCCTCAGGGTTGGGTATTGGTGGACTGCAGCTGCCTGGACACACTAGGAGGCACGTGCCCACTTGGGGCAAAGTTTGGCTTGACTATGTCCCATGCCTGTTCTGATCCCTGTGTCCTCGTGGATGAGTCTCTAAAGGGTTGGGAGCCAGGTCCGAGCTGTGGAGCCCAAGTCACATGGTCTTTGTGCTTGACGGCAGGGCCCCTAGTTGGAAGTCCTGTGCTTGAGGGGTGTGTGTGTTGGATCCTGAGTCTGTGTTCGTGGCAGGGAATGGCAGTGACGCGGGGGCTGCTTCCACCACGGCCCGGGAAGAGGGTGACTCGTGGGTCCTTAATGGCACCAAAGCCTGGATCACCAACTCCTGGGAGGCTTCGGCCACGGTGGTGTTTGCCAGCACAGACCGGTCCCTGAAGAACAAGGTGGGAGCCCAGAATGGGCCAGCACAGCCCTGGAATGGTCCTTGCAATTTCTAGGCCAGAACTTTGTTGGCCCTGCTGGCGGTGTTGTACTCGGCTGAGATGAGGCCTTCCTTTCTCCAGTAGAGTTGACACTCCTCAAAGCCAGTAGAGGGCACCGGGGATGGGGTGGGGCAGGCTTGAGCTCAGGTGTCTGTGTGGGGTTCTAGCAGCAGTTCTGGGGAGTCACCCTAACTTTTGGGACCTTACAGGGTATTAGTGCCTTCCTGGTTCCCATGCCAACACCTGGGCTCACACTGGGCAAGAAGGAAGATAAGCTGGGCATCCGGGCCTCATCCACAGCTAACCTCATCTTTGAGGACTGTCGCATCCCCAAGGAGAACCTGCTGGGGGAGCCAGGGATGGGCTTCAAGATAGCCATGGTGAGCCTGGCAGCAGAGCAGCACCCTGGGACCAAGCCCTGGGCCCAGCCTGCAGCTACTGACTGGGCGGTCCCCACAGCAAACCCTGGACATGGGCCGAATTGGCATCGCCTCCCAGGCGCTGGGCATTGCCCAGGCCTCCCTCGATTGTGCTGTGAAATATGCTGAGAACCGCATTGCCTTTGGAGCACCCCTTACCAAGCTCCAAAACATCCAGGTAGGGCTTGGAAGGTGGTATTTCGGGGCTGGGCCTGGGCTGAGGGAGGAAAGCCTTGCTCTTTGACTTGCACAGCCTGTCACCTCACCCTACCACTCTCACCCCTAACACTCCCACGCCCATCCCTGACTGTTGGGAGGGGGATCACCGGCTGATGGGTGGGGCTCCATCGTTGCAGTTCAAGCTGGCAGACATGGCTGTGGCCCTGGAGAGTGCCCGTTTGCTGACCTGGCGTGCTGCCATGCTGAAGGACAATAAGAAGCCATTCAGCAAGGTGTCTGTGGGGAGGGGCTCCCAAGGCACACCCTGAAGTGGGGGAAGGGCGCACCACCGGGCCTTTGAAGAAGTCAGATGTAGGCCTGCGGGTCTGTTGTGCTAAGGGGGTGGGCTGTACTGTCAAAGAAGGTCTTGAGCAGGGGGTCTCTGAAAGTGAAGGTGTTGACTCTGCCATTCTTGGTGGGTAGGAGTCGGCCATGGCCAAGCTGGCTGCATCTGAGGCTGCAACCGCCATTAGCCATCAGGTGAGCCCTGAACCCATGGGTGTGGCCCTTTCCCCAGCTGCTCCCCTGTGACAACACCAAGCCCCTGCCCTGCCTTTCCCCAGTGTGGGGGACTTCCTCCTAGTGCCTGTTTTCCCTCTTAGGCCATCCAGATCCTGGGTGGCATGGGGTACGTGACAGAGATGCCAGCTGAGCGCTACTACCGAGATGCCCGCATCACGGAGATCTATGAAGGTACCAGTGAAATCCAGAGACTGGTGATTGCCGGGCATGTGCTCCGGAGCTACCGGAGCTGAGCCCTTCTGGGGGGCTTGCCTGCCTGCGGCCTGAGGCAAAGGGCAGAGTCTCATGGCTTAACTCTGAGGTCTGGTCAGACCATGAAGGGACCTACCTCATTCTGTCCCTTAAGACTCTCACTGTACCCTCCCAGTCAGACTGGGGGATGCCTGTCTCAGGGAGAGGAAAGGCCAGCTGCTGTGACCTGTGACCAAGAAGAAATGAGTTGTCAGCTTAGAGCTGGGCTTGGCTACTTTTTTTTTTACAACCCACCAACAGTGCCTTTCTTCATCTGAGTGGCCCACCGCAGGCAGGGCCATGGAGGGCTAAACAACTCCCAGTGCTGTCCCCATGAGCCTGGCTTCGGGAGCCAGAACACAAGGGATAGGGCAGGGGTCAGGGGGAGGAGAGGAGGGGGTGGCCCAAATGAGCAAGCCTTGGTGGCAGGAATTTCAGTGTTTGAGTCCCCAGAGTCATCTTGGGATGGCTGGGGGCTGTGTCATGGGGCCCTCTCCAGAGGTCAAATAGAATGCAGGTGTGTGTTGTGCTGGGCAGCTGTAGACTGTGGCCAATAAAGCACCTGTGTCCTGACCCTCCTGTGTCTGTCTTCCCTGGGTCTGCTGGCCACAGCCCTCACCCTACAATATGTCTGTGTGGTGTGGGAAAGTGTGGTCTGTCGCCTGGCTGAGTGGACGAGTGGCCAGCAGGGAGACCGCCAGGGTCTTGGGCTGGAGGGTATCTAAGTCCCGGTGTCCCACAGAGCAGCTGGGCAGGGGAGAGGGGACAGGAGCTGTTGTATGGGGACTGCTGTGCGCTGTGCTGACCTTATGTGACGATGTGAGCTTCACCTGGAAGTTTAGGGTCTGACTGCCAAAGCAGGTGGGCTCCCAGGGTGGGGGTGGGGGCCGGGCAGCTCCACTGCCTTCCTGGGGAAGGAGGCACACCTGTCTTTCAGGACAGAAGGAGGCCTGTGCAGCATGCGGAAGTCAATATTTCTCCCTTTCCTCCTGGTTCCAGGTGAGCACAGGAGGGTTTTCTCTCCCCACTGTCTCTAGGATCCCTGAATCTTATACTGCTGTGTGTGCAAATGCAAGTCAGACTTGTAGAGAGCAGAGTGGGATATGGGTCCAGATTACCTTGTCCTACCTCCAGGGCAGGTGGCTGCCACTCTGAGTCACACCCTCAGGTGGGGACCGAGTGAGCCCAGAACAGTGGGCTCCATGGCCTTTCTGTTGTGCAAGGTGTGTGGCCAGGAGCACAACAAGGAGCCCCTGACTGGGACCCATTTGTCACTCTGCTGCAACTAAGGGTTGCCCTAGCCATGAGCTGTGCCCAGCAAGAGCTGGCCAGTATGGATTTCTACATCTCAGGACCCAGTCTCGGGGCGCAGGGTAGCTCAGGAGGCCGTGGGTTGTCCTTTTCAGTGAAGTAACTCTGGCATTGAGCCAAGCTCTGGTGTGCACACTGGAATGTTGCAAAGGGGCTGCCCTGAGTTCACAGTCTGTCACTCTCCTAGGTGGATGGCAGCAGCGTGGCTTCAAGGACATGGCCTGTTTGCTTACTTAGAGCTTGAGTTTTTTTTGTTTGTTTGTTTTTCTTTTTTTTGAGACAGGGTTTCCCTGTGTAGCTTTGTAGACCAGGCTGGTCTCGAAGTCACAGAGATCTGCCTGCCTCTGCCTCCCGAGAGAACTTGAGTTCTGAAAACTCTCCTCTTGGGTACATTTGAACTGAACTGCTGTGCAGCTGACTGTAAACACGCTGGTCCTTTACTTGTGTTCCCCAGCAGGTGTGCCTCCTGAGGACGGTTGCATGATGGGAAACTTGATTTTCCTGAGTTGGGAAACTCAGCCTCCCAGAGGCTGGGGCTCCGTTCAGATCAGGCAGTTTTCTTAGTGTTGCATGGTGCTGCTTGCCTGGGACCAAGTACTGAATCTGGCTTCAAGGTCCCATGGGACAGCACATCAGCCTGTGGTTGGCTTTTGTGATTTTGATCTTGTTGAAGTGTCCAGGCTGGTGGCTTAGTGGACTATCCCTTAGTGTTGACCAGTTTGATTTTGACCTGATTCAACTCAGGTGTGGCATTAGTAACACCTGATTGAAGTCCGGTGTGACTGTAGCGCCTCCTCCCGAGTTTCATCCGTTAGTTTTATTAATTATATTCATCGTTCCAAAGAGCCAACTGTTGGCTTTATTGATCGACACCATCAGTATTGTGTTTTAAAACTGTTTGGGGGGTGGTGGTTGAGAGAACTGGCTGCTCTTCCAGAGGACCTGAGTTTGGTTCCCAGCACCCACATTTGGCTGCTCACAACTGTGGTAACTCCAGCTCCAGGAATCCATCACTTCCAGAGTCGTCTTGGGCACCAGCACTCATGCGACACACACAACTAAAAATACATTTTTTTAGAAGTGTAATTTTACTATTTTAACAATTTCAATGGCCATTAAGGACACTGGCAGTGTTTGGTAGCCAATTATTCCAAAAAGGAAATTCCATGCCCATTCTCACTGACGTCACCTTAATTGCATTGTAGCCTCAGAACATCTGTAGTGTTTACATCTGCTGAAACTTCTTAGGGTTTTTCACCCCCTTTTTATGAGACAGGTTCTCATTATGTAGACCAGGCTGGTCTGCCTCCCTGGGATTCAGAGGGAGGGGGGCTAGAGAGAGAGACTGGGGGGGGGAGAGATGGGGGGAGAGAAAGACGGGAAGAAATGAGAGGTAGCGGGGAGAGAGAAGGTACAGGATCCCATGCCTCTGGCTAACGCTTAAGTGCACTGACTCAGAGTACCCCCATCTCCCTCACACAATCTGTTTCTGTCCCTGTCTCTCACACACAATTAAAAGTAAAATGAGTTATAACCATCAAGGGTCATACTTGGCTTGAGACAAGGTCTAGTTCTAACCCAGTCTGGTTTGAACTCATGGTTATCCTCCTGTCTCAGTTTTCCAAGGGCTGAGATCACAGGTGTGAACCATCACTCTGGCTCATCTCCTCTCCTTCTCCCTCTCCTTCTCCCTCTCTGTGAAGAGTTATGTTTGACCCAAAATTTCCTTGTGTCTTTATGTTTTGGCCACAGGGTTTCATGTATCCCAGGTTGGCCTCAAACTCACTGTGTAGCTGAAGATAGCCTTGAACTTGTGATGCAATGAGTCTGAGACCTGAAGTGGTCTTGAGGCACAGGAAGTGATTCTTGTAGAGCATTTGCTTGGCATGCACAGAGCTCTGGGTTCCATTCCATGTCACATCAAAGTGGTTGTGGTGAGCCGGGCCCTGGTGGCGCACTCCTTTAATCCCAGCACTCGGGAGGCAGAGTCAGGTGGATTTCTTTGAGTTCAAGGCCAGCCTGGTCTACAGAGTGAGTTCCAGGGCTGCCAGGGCTACAAAACAAAAGAGCTCATGGTGGAGAAATCTCAACACTTGGGAGGTAGAGGATTAAGAGTTATGTTCTGTTTCTCAACAGCAACCTTTCATGTGCTCATCTCTGTATCGTACATGGTGTTTATTTTAAGCTTTTCAGGCACATGGTTTTGTCCCAGCTGCAGATCATTAGGTGAGCTCAGCTGTGAATCTAGATAGAGGCAGCTGGACTAGGAGGCGTTAGCCAGGGTCAGGGTCCTCGTGCTTCCTCTGCATTGGTGGCTGAACTGAAGCGGCTCCAGGCTCTTTTGAAATGAACCGCTATTTCTTCTTTATTTACTTTTCTTTTTTTTCTTTTCTCTCCCTCCCTCCCTTCTTTCTTTTTTTGAGATAGGGTTTCTTTGTGTAGTTTCTTTTGTAGACCAGGCTGGCCTTGAACTCACAGAGATTCACCTGCCTCTGCATCCCAAGTGCTGGGACTAAAGGCGTGCGCCACCAACGCCCAGTGTATTTTTATTTCTTCCACGGGGCTGTAGGAAGCTCTGGATCATGGTGTGGACCCTTGTGACATGGGTGACCCACAGAACTCTTGAGGGTTTCCCACCAGCGTGCTTCACTCTCCCGGAATGCTGAATAGAACAGAGAGCAGAGTGAACGGGGCTGCCGGACTTTATCTGAAATTCTGCAGGGGCTGATGGAAATCCATCAGCTGCAGACACATGGAATTTTCAGGAAAATGGATGATACAGGGGTGAAGCCATGAACATCAAGGACTGGAGGATTGACTTCCCAACCTAGGGACCTAGAGTTCTCGAAGCTGTATTCCAGAGTCAGTTGGAATCATGTTTCTTCATCCCCTTCTCTTCCCTCCTAATGTCTTTGCCCCACCCGCTCCAGCCCTGTCCCACCCAAATGCAGCATTTGGTTGTCTTTTAACTTCACAGTCCCTGGGGTGGGTGGAATTCGGCCCTTGGGTGGGTTGTACCTACAGTCAGACTCATACCTGCTTTAGGTGGTATAAATGGTGAGATTTGAGACCCTTGAACCAGCCAGCTGTTGATTTTTTTTTTTACATTGGTCTTAGGTTTTCATTGCTGTGAAGAGACACAATGACTATTGTAACTTTTTTTTAAAAGATTTATTATGTATACAGTGTTTTGCCTGCATTTACACCTGCAGGCCAGAAGAGGGCATAATATCTCATTACAGATGGTTGTGAGCCACCATATGGTTGCTGGGAATTGAACTCAGGACCTCTGGAAGAGCAGCCAGGGCTTTTAACCTCTGAGCCATCTAATCCAGCCCTCATGGCAACTCTTACAAAGAAAACATTTAATTGAGGTGACTCCCTTACAATTTCAGAGGTTCAGCTTGTTACCATGACAAGGGAGCATGGCAGCCTGCAGGCATATGTGGGGCTGGAGCTTCGAGTGCTGTATCTGGAAAGCAACAGGAAGTCGACTGACCCTGGCCATAGGAAACCCAAATCCCACCCCCATAGTGACACACTTCCTCTAACAAGGCCATAGCCACTACCACAAAGCCACACCTAATACAGTGCCACCATTAGAGATTATGGGGGCCAATTACTTTCAAATCACCACACCATTATAATTTATTCATCGTGCAAGTGTGTATGTGTGCATGCATGTGTGCTTATGTGTATATATCTGTGTATATGTTTGCATGTGTGTACGTTCATATGTGTGTGCATGTGTGTGAATTTATGTGTGTTTGTGTGTATGTGCATGTGTGTAAATGTATGTATTTGTGTGTATGTGAATGTGTATTTGCATGTATGTGTGCATGTGTGTGAATGTGTGTATGTGTATGTGTGCATGTGTGTGAATGTATGTGTGTATGTGTGCATGTGTGTGAATGTATGTATTTGTGTGCATGTGTGTAAATGTATGTGTATTTGTGTGTGTGTGAATGTGTGTATTTGTGTGTATGTGTGAATGTGTGTGAATGTGTGTATTTGTGTGTATGTGCATGTGTGTGAATGTATGTGTGTATTTGTGTGTATGTGAATGTGTATTTGTGTGTGTGTGAATGTGTATTTGTGTGTGTGTGAATGTGTGTATTTGCATGTATGTGTGCATGTGTGTGAATGTGTGTATGTGTGCATGTGTGTGAATGTGTATTTGTGCATGTGTGTGAATGTTATGTGTGTATGTGTGCATGTGTCTGAATGTATTTGTTTGCATGTGTGTAAATGTATGTGTATTTG